ATGTAATAAGTCTTTTTTTGTCACCATTCTTTCCATGCCAAATTAGCTGACTGCTATTATGGTTATTCTTCAATGTTTTCCTGCTCTTCTTTTGTGACCTTTCATTTCTGTATAAAGAAATTGGAATATTTTTGAAATGCATGTTAATCGAAGTGAGATTGGGAAGGATGGCTTCTACGATCTTCATCAGCTTAATATTATCTACCTTGCAAGATATTTCTTTTTCTTACCTATTTTTGTTTATGAGCAACTGTCTTTTGCATTCCTGAAACCTTTTTTCATGATTTGATGTATACCATTTCACAATGACTGAAGCACTTTTTGTTATTACATTTTTCACATCTGATTATGCCACTTTAGACCAAACTGGAAGGAAAACCGACCCCTATGCTATCAATGATGTTAAGAACCAGACTCTAAATGGTTAATTGTTTTATTCCTGGAAACCTCACCACTAAGTACATAAAACTCTTAACATACTTTGTGGTGCTGTTTGTAATCAGTCTGTCTACCTTAACTAGGTTGTTAATAGCATCCATGATTCCAGCCTGAAGGTACCTAAGAAAGTTTCTTACTTGACTACATTCAATGGACCCAGCTTTCTTGTAGGACACTTCACATACTTAGAGTGATCACCAAATATTTAGTAATGTCAATTTTGTAGCTGTTTTTGAAGTTGGTCAATTGAAAAACATTTCTATTATTGTATTGGATTGTTACTCAGGGACATCCTCTCAGTTCTGGTGGGCATGGATGACTTAAAAAGTTTCTATTTTTGGAACTGTCTTTGGCTATGTCATAAAGGGCTTTTTTGAGATGTTTCACATCATGATTTGCAACCTTAAATTTTTTCCACTCTTTACTTGTAAAAACTCCCTTCTAAAGTTGTTTTTTTACATGCTGGAATAATTTTATGATGTTGTAGATCATGATGTTTTTCATTTATTTAAAATCCTTCCATGATTATATCATATTCCATCTGGGTTGATGGGTTCCACTTCTTCCAGAGAAGATGTTTGAACACTGTCTCTTGTTTGTTATTATTAAAATATTGTTACGTCTCTGCTCATTTGATAATTTACTTAATTTCCAGTATAAATTATTTCCGAGGAACTTCAGCGATGAAAGCCCTTTCTTAATTAAAACTAGTTTTTCTTTCTCGATACAACTTTGTAATACACTTAACAACTTTTATAACACACGCTATAAATCATAGTGATTCACACACTTTACTTATGGTGCCTACTGTTCACTTGACTTAATTATCTCTATCTTCAATCTATCTACATATCTCTTCTTTTATTTGCCGGGCTTATATACTAAAAAAGAGGGTGTCCCGAACAAACTAGGAAATTCACGATCATTTGCGAAACTCCTCGCACACGCCACCAGCGCCAATGCGCCAGCAGCGTCACGTGACTTCTGCTGTCGTAACAAACTTGTTTTTAATTTTTTTAAATAAAAGTTTCTTTGTCTCATAGCCAATAATTTCAGCTCCTAGAGACTTTGCAGAATATTTAGACCCATGACTCCTCTATGACTAACCCCTGTCAGTTAACACTGTAATAAAAGGTATGCTGTTCTTGTCAACATCTTTTGCTTTTGCTAAGATTTATTCCTCATTTCTTTCCTGAATCATGGAGTAGTGGAGGTTCTGAATTAAATAACTTTAAGAAAATAATGTTATAAAATACATACACATATAAGAGAAAGAAGGCAAATATTCTTGTATCAAGACATTAGAGTGTGTAAACAGTCCTGACACTCATTATTGTAATTTTTGTATAAGAAATTGAAATTGGCACAGTAAGATTTTCAGTGGAAACTAAAAAGAGATCATAACTAAAACGAATTTGATACAAATAATTCACATAAATTGTATCCAAATTTGAACAAATGCACTACTTCATTTGGATACAAAG